TGAAAGAAAAATCTGAAAATTGAACGAACCCAAGTCGAACTCGGATTTAAACTATTGGAGGTCACACGGACTGTTTGTGAGTGTTGAAAAGGACAAAGCAGAAGCTGGCNAAAGGTCTTGAAGAAGAAGGAGAACTAATGAACAAGACGAGATTACAAAATAACACTTTAAACAAAGAATCAATAATCCGAAAAATAGAATGAACAAGACAAGATTACAACCAACACTTAAAACCAAAAACAATAACAGAAAATAGATCAAAGGAACTAAATAATCTTGAAAGAAAAATCTGAAAATTGAACGAACCCAAGTCGAACTCGGATTTAAACTATTGGAGGTCACACGGACTGTTTGTGAGTGTTGAAAAGGACAAAGCAGAAGCTGGCCATTTGGACTGTGGCGGACTAGCTGGAGGGAGACGAGGGTGGTCGTGAGGAGCAGCAGCGGCAGCAGCTGGACTCGCTGCTGCTGATGGTGTCATGGGCTGGTGTTGGGCAGTGTCGTTAGGATGGGGTGGTGGTCGACGTGAAGCAGTGGTCGAAGGGGAAGGCTCGACATGAGGGAGCTGGAGTGGACGTGAAGGTGATGGCGGAGAGGGTAAAACGACTGGAAGTCGAGCAGCTGGAGGTGGCAGTGATGGCTGCTGCTCATCGTAGGCGAGCAGTTGAGCTTGTTTGGTCGTCCATGGTTGTTTCGCGAAAGGAGAAGGAGCAACGGTCATGGCTATTTCGTGAAGGAAAAGAAACAACGTTTATGGAGGAGAATAGGTTGTTTGGCGACTTGAAGACGAGGAAGACGACTGGAGATGATTAGGTTTTTTTTCCTAGGGTTTCTTCTTCTTGAAGAAGAAGAAGGAGGTGAAGCTTCTCAATGTGATATCCAAATGTGTTCCCAAATAATGAAAGATACGGCTGATGCATAAGTGTAGGGTTTGGGTATTTGGGTTGTGGACCAAGTAGGGTATGGGTCATGGGTGTGGGCCTGGTATTGTTTTGGGTTGGGTAGAAGTGTTTTGGGCCTATTTTTAATTCCGAAAATTTGCCCAATCCGAGTTTGTTCTTCTTATTTTTTGTTTCTCTTTTCTTTTAATTGATAAAACTAAAATTCTAAATTGAGTTATAAACTAAATTAACTCCAAAAATGCTAATTAAACTCCTAACAACAATTATCATACACAATTAGACACCAATTAAAACAAAATTGCACAATTTGACATTAAATGCTAACAATGCAAAAAATTCCTATTTTTGTGATTTTCATTTTTGTAAAACAAACTTAATTACCCCTAATGATAAACTTGAATCCTAAATGCAAAATGCGACATATTTTTGTATTTTTTATTAATTTAACAAATGAACATGCACATACAAAAAAAAATGCAAATAATACATGGAAAATAACACCAAATTCACAACAATTGCAAACAATAAAAAAAATGTTTTATTTTGAATTTTTGGTAGTAATATATAAGGCAAAAATCGCGTGCTCACAACTGCCCCTCTTTGTCCGAAAACACAAAGAGTTTTGTGCAAAAATAAAGTGAGCGGATACGAGCGATTTTTGCCCGTTGGAACACTCCGTGTGAAGCTTTTTATTTTTTTTTTGAAAAAAGATTTAACCGAACCTTTGCTTCAAAGGTTTCCTACATGTCACTGGCTAAAAGGGAATCAGGTTAGTGTAGTTCGGAAAGTCTTGGTAGCTGGGATTACCGTGGAACTGTGTTCTGCTGTTGTATACTGTTACCACTGCCTTACTGATCTCCTTAGTACACCGTATCAAAAAAAGAAAACAAGAAAATAAGAAGCTAGGCTAGCCTATGGATCACAAGATCTTATCTATCTTCAACTTGTTTTTGCTGCCTTGCTTTCTTGTCGGCTTGTGTTTCTTCCGCCGCTTCTTTCTTCCGAAAACTTGGGGATGGCACTGGCCTTTTGCTTTTCTGAATCCCAGTTTTCACTATCTTGTTCGGTCCGCTGGGATATGGCTTCCTCCACTAAACTTTCGGAGGTTTCTCTGGGGATGCGGCTTTTCTTCATCAGATTTGTTATGCTGGGAACAATTGAGGTTCAAAGGCCGCTTCTTTTGAGATTTGTTTTATCTTCCCTTTGACTCATGCGCTTGAATTTGTGCTGGACTTCTTGTTGTAACATTCTGCCTTCTTTCTGATTTCTGAATTTGGACTTATGCTGGGGATTTTTTTTTGTTATAACTCTCTGTTTTATTACCTTCTGGTGGGTTACTGATTTCAAGACCTGAAATGTAAAGACTGAAGAGTATTCCTCTTGTTATACAGGTGGGCGCCTAAATAGCTAAGACATGAAAAGTATTCCTCTTGTTATACAGGTGGGCGTCTATTATTTAAAGACATGAAAATTATTCCACTTATTATACAGGTGGGCGCCTATTACTCTAAAGACATACAAAAATTATTCCACTTATTATACAGGTGGGCGCCTATTATCTAAAGACATGCAAAAATTATTCCACTTATTATACAGGTGGGCGCCTATTATCTAAAGACATGAAGATTATTCCACTTATTGTACAGGTGGGCGCCTATTTATCTAAGAGCATGAAAATTATTCCTCTTATTATACAGGTGGGCGCCTGTTATTTAAAGATATGAAAATTATTCCACTTATTATACAGATGGGCGCCTATTATTTAAAGATGTGCAGAAATTATTCCACTTATTATACAGGTGGGCGCCTATTTATTTAAAAACACGAAAAGTATTTCGCTTATTATACAGGTGGGCGCCTATTTATCTAAAACATGAAAATATTCCTCTTGTTATACAGGTGGGCGCCTATTTATCTAAAGCATGAAAATATTCCTCTCATTATACAGGTGGGCGCCTATTTATCTAAGACATGAAAATATTCCTCTCGTTATACAGGTGGGCGCCTATTTATCTAAGACATGAAAATATTCCTCTCATTATACAGGTAGGCGCCTATCTATCTAAAGCATAAAAGTATTCCTCTCATTATACAGGTGGGCGCCTATTTATCTAAGACATGAAAATATTCCTCTCATTATACAGGTGGGCGCCTATCTATCTAAGACATAAAACTATTCCTCTCATTATACAGGTGGGCGCCTATCTATCTAAAACATAAAAGTATTCCTCTCATTATACAGGTGGACACCTATCTATCTAAAAACATGAAAATATTCCTCTCGTTATGCAGGTAGGCGCCTATTTATCCAAAACATGAAAATATTCCTCTCGTTATACAGGTGGGCGCCTATTTATCTAAAGCATAAAAGTATTTGAATTTGTTTTCTCGTTCTTACGAGAAATTTTTTGACAACGGCAGAAAATTTTCTGCCCCGGTTTTGGTGACCTTCCTTGTAGCGTGTCTTTCTGCCATCATCACCTTTATTTTCCTGTAGAAATCAAAGAAAATTTTGTTAGTTTTAACATGGTGAGTGATCGTGTCACTCCTACTGGGGGATGATTTTTCCTTTCCCTTTCCCTTGCTCTGTGCTCCCAAAACTGGTTGGGGATAAAGTTTCTTGCTGGGGATGATATTTCTGCTGGGGATGGTTTTCCATTTATCCCTTCCCCGCTCTTTTGTTTCAAAACATGCTGGGGGAGTCTTCTTCAACTCCAAAACTACTCCCTTAAAAGTCTATTTTCTCTCAGCACTGCAGGGCATAAAATGTTATCATCTGGGGATAACATTATTGAGGATAGGACTGTTAGGGTTAGCTTGCTGCGGATCAGTCCTCTCTTTCTCCTTCTCCCCTTCTGTGATGACTGAACACCCTAGAACATGGTTAGTGATCTATCGAAATTCTGCTGGGGATCCTCTTGGAACTTGATCCATAAGTTCCTCAACTGTTGCTTTCCAGCTTTTCTCCATGTTCTCCTTAACTTTCTAGGCAGGTTTGTCATTTGGTCTTGTAACAAACGCCTTTTGTCTTATTGCCTTGACTTTGGCCTGTCCCCTTCGCATTTTGCTTTGTACCATTTTGGCCACTGGTAGTAAACTCTGAAGAATCCTTCTTAAAACAAATTTCTGGAAAAATCTTTTTAGACAAAGAAATGAAAAGATAGAAAGAGAGACAAATCTTTCTGAACAAATGTTGGGGGAGAAGAAAATGAAAGAACTTATCTGGACGGTATGAATGGTCCTAACGATCATGTCGTGCATTCCGGATTAATCGACCCAGTCTAGTTGTACCAATCAATCTTCCTGATGGCCTCATTTGCCGTGAATAACCCGACGCCTAATTTTGCCATACGCGGATTCTTTTTGCCGATCTCCTCTTGTCGCCTCATAGTGCCCTTCGAGGGGTTTTCAGTAATAAGACTCTCTCCTTTTCTCAGCTCCCGTCGCCTTATGGTGCTTGTGAAGGTTTTCACCGATAAGACTCTCTCGTTTTATTTCTCTCATCTTTCGTCGCCTTATGGTGCCTGTGAATGTTTTCACCGATAAGACTCTCTCATTTTATTTTATTTTCAGCTGAGGATTGGGGTGTTGCCGATACGACTCTCTCTGCTGGGGATTCTTTTCGGCTATCAATTCATTTCCAGTTCATGATCCTCCTCTTTGCTGGGGATCAGAGTGTTGTTCCTGACTTCCGTTTGCATGACCTGACACTTCTCGGATACTGATCGGGAGGTCTTTTTGGACATCGATATTGGTTTTGTGTGGGTTTAAAGAAAGGCTATCAAAAATTCAAAAATAACTTTGATGGGTGAACCACTACGACTCTTGGAATCAATCCCCCTTTTTTTTTCTTTTTTTTTTGAAACTTTAAAACCTAACTTTTGCCCCAGTTTTCTTTGCTTGGGGGATTTTTTTATTTTTTGTTACACTATGTTGAACTATGCACACTATGACCGAGCCGTGAGGCACCTACGTATCCTCTTTGAGGAATCAGGTCAAACGTAGTTCCCACGATTCCTTTGTTTTTCTTATGACCTTTATCTTGTTTTCATTTGTCTTTTTTTTCATATATTTTTCCCATTAGTGACTCCAAAAGAGGGGTATGAAAGAATAAATAAGGCTCAAAGGGGGAAGCAAAGGTTAAAAGTGTTTGGATAGAAGAAAGACTTGCCTCCGTCATTTCATTATCTAATAAGTACCAAGTACAAACAAACGAACCAATAACTATCATAATCAAAGAAATTACGCATAATATCTTTTGACTACATCAGAATTGATAGCCATGTCGATGCATCTTCCTTCGATATCTGTTAGACATAAAGCGCCGTTGGATAACACTCTGGTCACAACATAAGGCCCTTGCCAATTTAGGGTGAACTTGCCTTTTGCTTCGATCTGATGTGGGAGGATCCGTTTCAATACTTGCTGCCCTACTTCAAATTTTCTAGGGCGCACCTTCTTATTGTATGCCCTTGCCATTCTCTTATGATACAACTGGCCATGACACACTGCTACCAATCTTTTTTCATCTATTAAGTTCAACTGCTCCAGTCGAGCTTTGACCCATTCATCGTCGTCAATCCCGGCTTCAATGACAATTCAGAGGGACAAAATTTCGACCTCTGCTGGTATTACTGCTTCAGTTCCGTATACCAATAAATAAGGAGTTGCACCTACGGAAGTCCGGACTGTAGTGCGATAACCCAACAAGGCAAAGGGTAATTTCTCATGCCATTGTCTAGATCCTTCTACCATCTTCCTCAGTATCTTCTTGATGTTCTTATTGGCTGCTTCAACTGCTCCATTCACCTTGGGACGA